GCTAAGTACTATGGAAGAATGTATATTTCTAACCCTTATTTTCACATCATCTTCCTGATTTTGTAAGCCTTTCATTGATAAAGTTTGTTTAGCTATACTTCTTATAATTTCTACGATTAGCAACTTTACAACAGTCCGCGAAAAACTAACCTTTCATTAGTGAAAAATCTAATGATTACGTATAACGAACACTTCTTTTAAGGCGTTTATAATTTATAACATGAAAGGATAAAGGATAAAGCTCTCCGCGTTCATTAATCCATGAGGGAGTCAGTGCTACTATCCTCCCAGACAAGTCTGAAACCAATTTGCCGACCCCGGAGGGATGGAAAACATAGTGCGCCATGGACCCCAGGATCGATTCCACGCGTGTGTTGCAGGGCGCCTCCGACCATTGCGCTTCACGGGTCCTTGTTTATAACGTGTACTAACAATACAATACAGAATGGACTTTTCAAATAGCATCCGTAGTTATGATCAACAATCCGTTCATACTTGTAATTATTTACCGCGTAAACTTCTAACACGAAGTCTACATTTTTTCCATAATAACTCTACTTATGGCATACGAACGAACTATATTTCGTGTGAATACTTTGAACAACATCAAAACAAATAAAAAAGAATGTTTACTACATTACTACATTTGCTACTTATCTCCCTGATATATCTTGTGGCAAATCTGGAACCACCATGTTTTTGCGAGTTTATGTAACAGCCACTCAGCACATTTTCTTGCTGTTAACTTTGGTTCTCCTTCAACGATAGATGTGTAGCACATCTGTATATATATATATATATATATATATGTATATATATGTATATATATGTATATATATATAAATATCTGATTTCTTGTGAAGCGTACGAGAGCGAATACGTTGGCAAAAATGGTGCACCGCTGTGAGTCCGCATAATCGAACACCTAGACGGTAAGCGTAGAGCCAAACAAACACTCTACTAGGCATGCATAGGGCACGGAGACATAACGGAGAAGATTTTGGAGCGAAAGGCACTACCCTCGCAGAGGAATTGAAAACTTCGGCCTCCAAGCATTCTGAATGAATTCCAGGAATCCGAAAAATGAACTGTAGGAAGGAATCCCTCGTTACCACGCGAGATCTCACATAACACTGAAACTGATTTTAACTTATTAGTTTCTAGGATAGACTTTTCATTAACCTTGGCATTGGAATATGAATGCGTCGTTTTCTTGTTCAGCAATCGCGAGGTTTTTAAACAGCATACATTTACTTCCATAGAGAAACACAATACAATACAACACTAGCTGACGTTTCGGCAGTATCGCCTTCTTCAGAGTCGCTTTTTACGTGACTTCCAATGAGGAAGTTTAGAACAGCTGGTTATAGTCGCATATGGTTGATGACTTATTAGTTTTTGCCTACTCTTTTTAATGGCAGGGTGTATTGCGAAATATAACTTCAGTGATGCTGAGATGTTTGCAAAACGCCGAACCACAGGTGTCTGCGGTGGGGAACGAACGCACTACTGTCCTTTCGGGGAGTAGCGCGTTCACCATCACACCATGAGGGCTCTTCGTTTCGCCTGTCTCATTGTCTCATCGCCTGTCATCACTGTGGTCCAGCGTTTTGCAAATATCTCAGCATCATTAAAGTTATATTTCGCAATATACCCTCCCATTAAAAAGAGCAGGCAGAAAGTAATAAGTTAAAATTGTGATTATAACTACGACCTCAGCTTAACTGGGTTCGTTGCCGATTTGGGCCCCCAGATCAATCCCGCTGACGGGTGATTGCTGTGGCAAAGATCGATAGAACTAGCTGAGAGATAGGCGAAACGAAGAACCCGCATAGTGTGGTGGTGTACGGGTTACTGCCCTGAAAGGACAATAGCGCTTTCGTTCCCTGCCGTAGACACCTGTGGTCCGACTGAGACTGATATTTTAATGTAAGAGAGGCGTACTACGTTTTAATGTGAACTTTATGCGGTTAGTCTCCACTTGGAATACTCAGTGAAGGATTCATACAAATCAGTGAATGTGAGGCCAAGCTCTTTTGTTTCCGGTGCGATTGATAACTAGGTTCATAGCTTTTCTGTTGAAGTTATGGAGGTACTTTGTTTATCTTATACTTGTTCATTCTAAAAAAACAGTTAACTATCAATCAATGCGGGTATTCATGAAAAGTCAATTCTGGGAACTGCTTCATGAATTGCCAGCAAAATATTTCCGACCTGTAACCTAATACTTGGTCATTGAAGAAAAACAGTGAATTACTTTATTTGTATTGCTATTGGGCGCGTGTGGGGCAGTGGTCGGAGGCACCCTACAATATACGTGGAGTCCATCCTCATCCCCATGGCCCACCAAGCATTCCATCGCTCCGGAGTCGGGGCAAACTGGTACCAGACTTGTCTGCGAGGATAGCAGAATGGCTCGATACATCGGTAGGCCACTACGAGTCATTGTAAAGACCAGATATGCATTCAGTCACCTCCAAACGATGCTTTATGAAGTCGAATGCATGGCGTATCGCTCAGGGATTCATCAACTCCGGGAGCTTTGTCCTTTTATATTACTATTATTATTGCTATTATATTGTATTTCTTATTTCTTTTTCCTTAGTTCCGCTTTCCGCATTGTTTTCTTTCATTATCTATATTCCTTTACCTGAAAACAGCGACGTATTGATCAACGCCGAGTTTAAGGAAATCTTCTATGAAACAGTCAAATTGTAATGGATGCAAAACAATAACTGCATCCAGTTAGTCCGTCACTGGAAACGAAATCCATCACTGATCTCCGGTTTTCAAGGATTGCTTCCATGACCAATGTGGATTGCAGTGCACACTTTTTCGGAGTACCACTTCGTCCACTTGAGAACACTCACCCTACTCATCAACCGTTAAAGAGAAGTAATGCCAATGCCAATCTGTTTCGGTGATAGCGAAATGAACGAAATCCAACTGCGTGGAAAAGTGTGCATGTGCTAAAATCTGTTTCTCCTTTAAAACAATTCTCCAACTCTATCGATAGAAAATCACAAGAGAGTTGGCGCCTCGTTAGACTATGATATACAACCGCTGCTTAATTTTACCATACTATCACCAGTTCTATTGAAAGAAGCTGAACCAAAGGAGAGTACAGTATAAAACCCTTCAACAAAAAAGCTACGTTCGTGGCTCATTGAGCTTTAAGAATTTTAACCCTAAAATGAAGCCTACGGAATCTGTAATGAATTCGCCTTGTAGCTCTCCTCACCAGCTTAGTTACTCTATAATGATAAAGTGATCGCAGGCGTTTCTCTTACACATTTATCATTAGATATCTGTTGAGATGAAATTGTAAATAAGTCTTACACATCCAAACCGTTCATTTCACGTTCATAGTTCTCAGATGACACGAACTGTACACGAAGCCGATGACGAGCAAAGTGACCAATAAAGATTGTCTTATTCTGGTGGTTTAAAGCTTTAACGCTTATCATCATCGGTAATAATCTTATTATGTTAAATTTCGATAAAACAAAAATATATAAATACACCACTAATGCGACATAATGTGTCGGAAAAGAAAGGGAAAAAACAAAGAAGCCGGACTTCAATTGATGACAACTCAGAGCGAACAAGACAGAGACAATAATTATTCGATCGATATGCATAGTTAAGAGGGTCGTCATGAGTTCTTCTATCCCCAATAAATCTACTAAAACCTCATTCCTATATTAAGTCAACATCAATTCCACCAGATGTGACAAGTATTATATGGAGCATGACATTAGTGTGATGAGAGGAACGGAACTACATCAAATTTCTAACCGCACAAACGTAAGCGTTCCTTGAAAACGCTGGATTGGAAATGCAAGCATTATGCTCCCGTATAAGAAAAAACGTCACAGGATAACGTGGAAGGTAATGACGGACTTTGTCGAAGCGTTTTAGGCTTAGCAGAACTTAAGGTGGAAATTCGCTTAGGCTTTTTTTTCCAAACCTTTACAGCAAAAGTCCCAATGTTCTGTAACAGTCAAATTCGAAACTGACTGCAAGCTGCACTCAAACCCTTCTTCATCTTCAAACCGACCTTGACGATAACTTACAGAATATCGTCTTCGGTGATTTCGCCATTACTTTCCGAATCACATATACAACCGAAACATATGAAGATGTAAAAACCTGATCATTACCATATTCGTAGTAATGTCGGTCTGTACATATCATTTACGTGTGTTTCTTTCACGTCTAACACAAGATATGTTGAGCAGCATGAGGTAGCGCGAATCCGAAACTTCATACCCTGTAACTATATTGTTGAAAGTTATTGAATTCTAATACGAGAAAAAAACCAGTATGTTATAGTATGGTCAAAAATGCCCCTCATCTAAAAGATTCACAATTTCAGAAGTATCACCTCTACGGAACATACCCAACGACATGTGTTATTTACCACATGACGCCATTGAGATTTTTTTCCGTCAAAACAAAGGATCTCTACTCATTCAATCAATCAATAGTTAATCCCCTTGAATCTCAGTTTCACTTAAGTTTCCTAATAATAATAGTATCGTTACGTAAAACGAATGCCACCATTGAAGGGAACAAGATCAGAGGAAACAAACTGCGAGTAACATTCTCAAAAGGAATCTGGTTCGTTTAGTACACTCATTTAATGCATGCAATTCCCGTTTCAGTTCAATTCATTACAAAGTAGTACACATTTCATCGTGTATAAAAGGGTTAGTACACGTTTCCAAAAGTCGGAATGACGCTTGTAGGATGAGTAAAACTATCGTAAAAACGGACGTTACTTCATAAAATCAATCCGTAGAAAGCTATGTTGGCCGTTTTTTTATGGCAATTTCCTGACAGCACGTCCACACATTGAGCTATTAGTAAGTGAAAAGTTGAGGAACAGGAACAGGAATTGTTCACGACGTAAAGCGTATCAATGAAGGAAGAGATGACACTACACTACTATGTTCCCGAGATTATTCACAGAGAGCACTGTAGCGTACAGTACGCTACTACCGAGCTAAGACGGCGTTGAGTATCGGTCGGTGAGCCATCTTTACGACTTCGGCGCCAACATTCAATGGCAACCATATTCGTCGTCTACCATGTTCACCCTGAAAAATTAATGTAGAAGCCCTTTTTTGACGGAATGCAAACCACTCAACATCAATAATAAAACAGATATCTACAATAAACTGACAGCGAAAAACTCATGCCCTCAACAACGTCACAAAGGCATTCGAAATTTCTAGTCGAAAACGTAGATAAGAATATACTCCTAAGATGATAAAAACCAATGAGTATTGAGCCACCAGTGATTATCTTCCCGTTAAGAACATTATGAGGGGCACCATACAAAAAGGGTAATGCCCTTCTTATCCTTTGATTGCGTAAGCGGAGTCCACTGCTTATCTATAGGCCGCGACAGATACGAAGCAGATTACAGGTGCCTTTTCGATTTACTCGATGATTAATTGAGCAACAGATGATTAGTTGCTTCCACAAACGAATAGAAGAATAAAAGTTAAATCAGCATGATAAGAGAGAGAGATAACGTACTTCTTCCCATACACTCAACTCCTCCTCAACCTCCATTAAAAAGACGGTTGTGCGATGTTTTCGATCATCATCCTGGAATCATTGAAATATTAGTGCGCAGACTAATATTTCACAACAGATCACAGAAATGGAATGATTTACCTGGAATAGCCCAATCAATTCAAGGGGACGTGCTTTCACTCCAGCTTCCTCTTCAAGTTCACGTCGAGCAGCTTCTTCGGCGCATTCATTTTTTTCAACGCCACCACCTATTCATAAAAAGTTTTTCACTGGATGTTGCGATGTTTTTGACGGTTCTTATACAAAGATAGACTAACAAAAGAGAGTTAAAATTTATGTTTTACCAGGAATCACCCATTTTCCACCCTCCTTGCCTCCGCTTACTAGCAGGACCATTGCATCTTTGCCGTGTCCTGAAAGCACGTTTCAATGATACGACAAATTTGAGAAAAAAAACCAGCTGGATGGAACCATATGAGGACGGAAGTGGCTGGAGTTCGACTATGTTTGAGCCATGCATATCATGCAATGATGACTTTGTTCCCCTTTGTAATGAACAGACTCATATATACAGAAGATTCTAAACTATTTCAATGTGTATTGTCTCTTGAATTTCTACCTCATTGCCACGTTCAGACAAAGTTCACATATCCCTTGATGTTTCAGGGCTATTTTCATTTCGCAAAGCATTTAATCAATCATGGAAATGCAAGATGACAAGCATAGAGTATATGTCTTCATTCAGCCAATAATTGTACACTTTAGTTTATAGCTCAGAACAGTGACTACTATCTGAACGAAACCACATCCCTGGCATGTCATTGAAACTATTTCTTGGATGCCCTACAGGAATCCAACAGCCAACTCATGCGCTCGGTCTCCCTCTGAAGCGGCAGGTTACAGGGAATTCCATAGGCGTAAAGAGGCTAACATTAGCTAAGTCAGTGACGAGACGTGCTAACCGTGGAGTGATACCGAAGGGTAATTTTGATGGCGCAGCTTTTGTCAAGCACCCCTTAATTAGGAAATCGACTCATACTAAATGTAACCAATTCACATATTCATTAAGCCGAGCACTCTCATCGAAAATGTTAAGTAACCAAGACAAGAAGAACTGTACGGAAAAGAATGAGCAGCATGATTCCGTTTGCACCATTCAGGGAATACAGCCGGACATAAAACTTCATGCGCACTTGTACGACTCAGCACTCTTCCCAGCGCTTTGTAAAGTAACTGAGACCTGAGACATAGGTTTCTCGAAAATTCCAACTTCCGGACATAAAACTATTATTTCTCTCTAAAATCAAAAGTACAATAATGAACAAACTACAAATCCCACTTCACGAAAAATTCCTTCCGCTTTCTCAATGGTGTTATTGAGTTTAAACTTGATATTCATTCAATATGCAGGGCTACCAAGATGAGTTTGTGTTCAACCTTTGGATCTACAAGACCAGCAGAGAAATAAACTTACGTCAGAAATAACCAACATAAACAAAGGAACTCAGTCATTAGACAGCAATCCCCAGTGGTCTCATAAGTCCATGGTAACGGGACAACATCGGAACATCACGAAAGAAATACATGTGCAGTCAAAAAACACCAATCTAGTGGAAATTGTGCCATGAAGTGCACGATATGCAGAACGGTCATTCAATTAAGTGATGTATTGCTACAAAACTCTACCCTTAGTTCTTTACGCAAGATTTCTTAACAGTTTACTTCGTCGAGTTTCTTTATGCGTTTAATCACTATCTACAAGAATACACAGAGGAAAAAAGCACGAAAATGAAAGGAATAGGAGCCACAGCTCTATGAGTGAACACCTTCATCATTAACAGAAATATAAACGAGAAGCAATGACGTAAATAAATAAAAGAACTAGCTCTTAAAAAAGCTCTTAAAAATAGAAGAAAAGATAAAAATAGAAGCTCTTAGCCCTGATCAATCCCTGAGGGATGCGCCGTGTGCATTCGACTTCATTAAGCATCGTTTGGAGGTGATTGAATGCCTATTTGGCCTTTTGCAATGATTTTCGATGGCCTGCCGATATATCGAGCCAGTGCTGCTATCCTCCCAGACAGGTCTAATACCAATTTGCCGACCGGGGAGGGATGAACGGTTAGGTGGGCCATGGGCACGAGGATCGGATCAATTCCATGTGTGTGTTGCAGGGCGCCTCCAACCACTGTGCCACACGCTCCCAGTAATAACTTATAAAACATAGGAATCTCCTTCTTTTCCATACATAATCCAAAACATGACAGAGACATCTCTTTCAGAGGGAGTGCAACTTTCGATAAAATCGATTCCCAAATTCTATCAAGTGAAAAGAACAAAGGGAACAAATATGTGCAGATTACACAGCACCAGAGATCAGATGCTGTGAAATTTTTAACACAAAAAACCCAAAGTAGATTGCCGATTGTTAGAAGTGTAACGAATGCCCGCAGTACGGTAAAAGAAAGCATTTGCACTTCACTTCCATAAATAGCACATGAATCTCCGTCAAAAGTATTCATTAAAGTAAATGAAATCCAAGCCAAAATCCCAACAGAAGTATCCTTCGTAAGTTAATTAGAAGGGTGCATGTGGCCCAATGGTTTGAGGCGCCCTGCAACACACACGTGGAATCGATCCCCGCTCCCGTGACCCACCAAGCTCTCCATCCCTGCGGAGTCGACAAATTGATACCAGAGTTGTCTAGGAGGATACCAGTACTGGTTCAAATAAAGGCCAGATATGCATGCAAACACCTCCAAACGATGCTTAATGAAGTAAAATACGTGTCGCATCCCTCAGGGAATGATCAACGCTGAGGGGCTAATCCTCTCATTCTTCCTATGTTAACTAGCCGAAAGCATCTAAAGTATAATGGCATAATGCGATCGCTAACTAATAATCTGAACTACGATGAAAAACTAAGAAGACATGTACAAATATTGTCACCCACGAAAACCTTTAACTATCTTGGTTTAGAACTAGCTGAGAGACATGCAAAGCGATGGACCCGGATAGTGTAGTGGTGAAGTGCGCTGCTCCTCGGTAAGGACAACAGCGCGTGTTCGTTCTCCACTGCATACACTTGTGGTCCGGAGTTTTGTAAATATCTCAGCATTTCATACGAGTTATCTTGGTTTAATCACAATGTTGCTGGGATGTCTGCAAAACCCCGGACAGCTAGTGTCTGCGGTGGGGACCGAACACGCTATTACCCTTTCCGAGGGGTATCTTGGTTTAATAAGTAAATACAAATGGAATTAAATAGAGTGAATAACATAGAAAAGCCAATAACAACAAAAAATGGAACCAGTAAAATAAAGCATGGTTTTATAAATGGAGCTGAGCAGCATATTTCGTCTGTGCCTACGTTTTAAAAGATGTCTTCTCACAAAAATGTTCTATGGTCTTTTTACACACGAATACTTGTTTCATCAACAGAGAGAGAACAACAGAAACACGTTACTCCAGCAAAATTAGAGTCCGGCATTCGCATGACAACCTAGCTCCTGCATATATTTGGCTGAGGTTCAAATAAACGATGTCTTCTACCCATAATGATATGCTGACTGATCTCAGAGTATGGCTTTCTTCATCAAAGATCTCCATCAAATTCAACCGTCTGCCGTTGTGGATTGAAGGAATGTTTGTTGCGAAGTAATCAGGATTCTTCACATGACAAACTGGCCTCAGCACTTACTCCAATCGTCTTATTGTCTTGCAGACACAGCATAACCGTTCACGGAGACCACGCTCGTGTACACATTTGGCTACAGCTTAAATATTGGTCAATTTCTCTCCACCTTTAAGTAACCGATGATTTTCGAGCATTGTTTTCCTTGGAGTTGTTTGATAGACGTGTTAGAGTGTATCACAGACCTTCAACACAAATGCTCATCAGCCGCAATAGACCGAAAACAAGTTTGTTGCCTCGTGACCAGGATTCTCCTGAGGCGATGTATCCGTGTCAATCGTAGAGCCATTGTGCAGCACCGTTACGTTTGGCCACCTATGTGACGACCATCGTAAAAACAGCTGCCGTTTCGTAGCTGAGCAGTCTTCAATGGAACCAGAAATATTTATTCCAATTACGACTGAATTCTTAAATACTTCTCAGCCGCTTTTCACCAGGATTCGAGTTGTTATAAATTTTAATTTAAAAAAAACAGGAAAAAAACAGACTTTGACACATATCTGCTTCAATTTATACCTTGAACGGTTACATAAAAGTTAAAGATAAAGCTATCGGCGTTGATCAATCCCTGAGGGATGCGCCATGCATTCGACTTCATTAAGCATCGTTTTGAGGTGATTGAATGGATATCTGGCTTTTACAATAACTCGCGGTTGCCTACCGATGTATCGAGCCAGTGCTGCTACCCTCCCAGACAAGTGTGGTGCCAATTTGCCGACCCCGGAGGGATGGATGGCTTGGTGGGCCATGCGCGCAAGGATCGATCCTTCATGTGTGTTGCGGGGCGCCCACGACAAAAAGTTACTTAATAATTATCATTTCTGACTACACATGGCTTTAATTCATTACTTTCTTCACGTTCTAGTAAAGCAAGGACTAATGTCCATCTAAATCTGCTATAGTCCAATCACTGTCAGTAACTTAAGAAAATGTTATGGTTTATTTCCACACAGATGTTACCAATTGTCAGCAGAGCGCCTAGACCGCATCCCATCGAGCTCTAACTATCCAACTCCTGTGCACTTCGAACTTCTGGAACATACAACCAAAACCAACTCAACAAAGAACTCCACCTTCGCGACCACATTGGTATAGACTGTGATGAACAGGGACTTCCTATAGCCATACTTGATTAGTTGGGTAATTATGTAACATAACAATGTTACATAAGTATTCCCTTGTAAAGTATGGCAAATAAATATTAACACTGCCGCCATCCTATTTCAGAAATAAATGACAACTACCAAATTGAAATTGATTATTGATTGATTACAGCGACATGCTTCTGACGATGAATTCTTTTCAAGGATGTTGAGGATAATTCAACAATAGTGAAAATCCTAAGAGGCGCGTGTGGCGCAATGGTCGGAGTCCTGCAACACACATGGAATCGATCTTCGCGCCCGTGACTCATCAAGCTTTTCATCCCTCCGGGGTCGCAAATTGGGACCGGACTTGTTTAGGAGGATAGTAGCACTGGTTCGATACATCGGTAGACCTCTGCGAATCATTCTAAAGACCAGACATACATTCAATCACCTCCAACGATGCTTAATGAAGTTGAATGCATGGCACATTCCTCAGGGATTGATCAAAGCCGACTGCTTTATTCTTTTAATAGTAAAAATTCTCAATTCTACGTTACTCAAAGGCCTTGTAATTTTTAAAACAACGGCACATTATCAACGCGTTGACGAGCTAT